ATTTCCCGCATGTTCAGCCCGTCGTATTCTCGGCATCCTTCTTTTTTGTTACCTCGAGTCACATCTTCATCTGTGAGGAGATTGTTCAGCATCCACTGCCATATAGGACGACCGATATTACGTATCAGTTCCGTACTGTTGTTTGATTTGGACGAAAAAGGAAACTGTCCGGTTTCTTCATACTTCGGCTAGCTTGATGGTTGACATTTTTCGCTATCTCTAGGCGTCTTTAGATTTCCGTATCGCATTTTTCACCCTCTGTGAAAAAACTTCCTAGATATTTAAAAAAAAATACTTGCTTCATTTTGATATCTTCAATTTCTAACTCGCATGTTAGATTGTTTCTTTTACAGACAAACATACATACTGTCTTCTAACAATTGATGCTTAGTGCTTTCTTTATCTGCTTTGCTACCTTCTGAAGGAGTTCCTTTTTTTCTTTCTTTCTGGATTTGCTATTAACACCGACTCATCTACATATATAATTTGTTAGGATTGTGGCTACCAATAATAAATAACAATAATAATAATAATGATAATGCATGCCTTTTAGTGTACAATATACGACAGAATTTTACAGTAGATTACGCCGTGTGTAACAGCCAAATTGTCCAAATCGTGTAAAAACAAAATTGACCAATTGTTAGATTAAACTTTGAACCGTTGTATCTTAGAAATGATTAAAGATATCTTACTGGAATTCTCCGACATCTTTATAACACTGATTACTTTACGTTGAGAAATATGAATGTATACTTACTCTCCAAGCTTAACAGAAGAATCGTGATGAAATCGATCATAAACAAAACGACATGTTCATCATTAACTAAACATAAATAAGGATCGGAAGCTGATGAAGGCTTGAAATAAAATTCAAACACACACACACATATTATTCTGGAATCATTTTCTAACTTCTTCAAGATGATCCTTGCCCTCTCTAACCTTCTAACTTTCTGTCCTGCAGTAATAATGTACCTCACAGGTTTTCATTTTCAAGTCTTTTTTCACTGCATTTTGGACTGACATAAGTGAAAAACCTTTCTCACATGCCAAACGTCTTATGGATTGAGTTGGAGCTGATCTAATTGATCTCTTTCTAAATTGAAATGATAATACCTCTTCCTGTTGTGACTTCATGATCCAGTTTCCTCTTTACTGTTCCCTCTTTTTTAAGTGATCTCTTGGTGGTTCTTGAATGGACTTTGAAGATGTGGCAGTAAAAATGAACAAAGAAGGCCAGGCATCCAAAGAAAGAAACGCGAATGAAGTTGAGAAGAAAAAAAAAGAAGCGTGGTAAAGGCATAAAGATTTTAATCATGAGCCTTCTCGTATTCGGGATACAGCAAACTGTTTAATGCTTTTCCTCGCTGACAGTCTTGATCAAGGATTCGTCGAGGTGTCAGCATCCCCACCCTTGGCAAACTCAAACTGTTCATTGATCTATACGAAGGTTGATATAAAACCAAAGACGTCCTCAAATGGGTCATTTCGTAAAGAAATCTACCGATAAAACAGAAATGATTAGGAGGGCCTCGGATTTTATATTGCAGAACTTTGTTCGTACTCAATCAACTTAAAAAAAAATTTCTTTACTTCAGGTCGAAGGTTAACTGGAGATAATAAATTCGTGTTAGCTTAAATGTTGTCAGTATCACCACCTTTCATCCGTAAAACAAAACAGCCCGCATCATGAACAAATAAACAATTTTATCCCCAGCCTTTTGTACATGGCTAACAAATAAATTGTCTTTACAAGATTAGCAGTTTTAAGATTTCGTTTGTATAAAATTTAAAAAAAAAATGGAAAATATATCAACTATGTTATTTGCTATTTATTCTAATTTAATATTTGTCAAACGAGATCTAATAAAAAAAAGTATCGGGTGGTTGCTATGATAAAGGAAAGGAGCTAACGTAAACAGACTGAAGCCGCTTAGTACAAATTAACCAGGAACTCTGCCGCGCATGCGCACTATGCTATAAAATTCTCGCTCACTTCCGATGTTTATAGCAGTGTTCGGAAGGAAAATGTTTAGAGTGTGGCTGTCTCATCATAACACAGAGGCTCCATCCTTTTCAGCAGTATTTTGGCGAACCACAACATTCCCCGGTTTCAACAACTACAGTTTCCTGAGATCTCGCCCATCGCGACTTCTTTCCAAAAATCAACCGCGCTTGAAAAGAATACGATATCAATACGTTGAGTAACATCAACAGAATTCTGCTTGCCATCCGAAAAAAAAATTCCATAAATGGAAACGATGTTTGACAAAGTATGTGGCTTCAGATTGGGACTACTTCGAAGGAGATTTAGTGCCGAATTGATATGTGTTGTAGTTTTGTTTTTATAACACATGTCTCTATACTTTTTTTATCAGATCTCGTAAGTGTCGATATCTTTTAAATTCGTGTTTATATAGAAATAATTTATATCATCTTTATAAATCTTCATTCGCAAGTTATAAAACTATCAGTGCCTATACATTTTAAGAAAATCAAAAAATAAATATAACAATTATTCTTTTTAAGAAGTGAATATCATATGAATATTTTTTGAAATGTTAATAATTTTAGAGACGTCAATCTTATTTCATGCAACCACCATTACAACAAATCTGCCGTGGTGAACCAAAAATAGTGTTATGAAATTTTGTAAATAATTCAAAATATTCTGTTAAATTGTATTTTAATTTCTGTTTTTTATTAGATATTTTAAACCGTACTAAATTATTTAAACAAATGAAAAAGTAGTACGTCTTAAAACTCTTTCTTCTAAAACAACAGACATGAGAAAATTATTTAAATGTTTCCCTTATTGACAATTCTATATAATTATGTGAAGAGTGAAATTCAATTTGGCTGATCAGAATAACAGAGAATTCAAAACATGTTCGTAAGATGAATATGTACCTAATGATCATAATGATAATAAACTCAAAACAATATACAACGATCTTGATTGACAAGCGCTTGGAGAGCAATCACCCTGATATCATAGGATTAGGTACAAGAGAAGCCATGAATCGATTCTGACGTCGCTTTAACATGGAATACGGACATCGTGATGGCGGAGAGAGGAAAATAAGGGGATATTAAATATGGCAGCGTAAAGCAATTAAATATACCAAGCAGCAGTTCATGTTGTCCCTTTTGCAGTTGGCGCACTCGGGATTGTTAGCCTCTCATAAAACCTTGGGGTACCTGACATAATTTGGTGTCAGTACATGACGGCGCTGCTTGGAACAGTCTCTGTCGAGAGGAAAGTGGCGTGTGTCTAAGCTTCAGAAAAGAACTGAGATATGATCAACATTACCTGTTCGAAATATTTGAGAGTTGGAAAGAATATCAAATAATAATAATAATAATAATTATAATAATAGCATACAACACCCCCAAATGAAGGAAAAATAAGAAAAGAGTACTACGGGCGTGTACGTCTGGTACTAAATACTGAGCAAAACTAAAAAAACAGAATATCAGCCATAAACACATTGGCTGTCCCTGTGGTGCAATACAGCGTTAATGTCCTTAACTGGACCATAGCTGAAATTAAGCAAATGGACGCCAAAACGAGAAAGCTGATATTGATCGTCTGTATGTGCCCACATCCGAAGGAGGCAGAGAAGTAGTTCAACTAGAACTGTTCTACAAAACTACAACAATTGGCATCCAAAGATGCTTGGAAACTACAGCAGACTGGATGATGGTATGCGTCAAGGAACATGAAAGTAGTAAGCGTTTTTACTCCGTAATAAAAGAATCCAACAAATTCAAAATGGAGTTTCAAATAGGCGTAGAGATGCAAGTACAGCACAATACACTGGCTAAAACTGCAAAATACTTTAAAAAAAAGACAGCAAAGACGAATGCAACCGACCAGATACAGAAGCGATGGCAAGATAACCGCTTCATGGCCAATACTCTGCCCGTACCAAACAAACTGACGTAGACAAAACCTGTACTCATCAATGGCTACGTAGTGCAGGGTTGAAAGCTGAAACTGAAGCTTTTATCCTTGCTGCACAGGACCAATGCTTGCTAACTAGGAATTATCAAGCACATATACTAAAATATTGTGTCAGCCCAAAATGCAGATTCTGTGATAAATATCCAGAAACGATTGTATCAGGTTGCACGATATTGGCACCCACTGAAGATAAAACTCGGCATGACAGAGTGGGCCAACATCTGCACTGGAAAATCTGCAACTTCTACGGGAAGGAAACTGAAAGAAAATGGTATGAACACCACTCAGACCCGGTTACGGAAATAAGACCTATTACAATTCTATGGACTACACAATACACACTGACAGAACAATCAAAACCAATCGTCCATATATTGTTATTAAAGACCACAAACAAAAAAAGTGCGTCCTTATTGATATGGCAGTCCCTGCTGACTGCAATGTATCTTTGAAGATATTCAAAAAGCTGTCAAAATACAAGTACCTTGAAAAAGAAATCTCGAAAATGTGGCATATGGGAACATCAACAAGCCCTGTTGTAGTTGGAGCCCTAGGACTGGTTGGAAAAGATTGCAGTAGACTAATTGAAAGGATTCCTGGAAGTCCATGCCTCAAGTAGATACAAAGAATTGTTCTCACAAGTACAGCCCACACTTTACCAAGGGCTTCGTCTATGTATTTTTTTTTTTTTTTGTCAGTAGAAAGTGTCATGATACCATTTCTAACCTTAGGTCCCTGGGCGGTACACGGAAAGAAATATGTAAACGCCAGAAATCAAAGAAAATAAAAATAATAATAATAATAATAATAAGAAGAAGAAGAAGAAGAAGAAGAAGTAGAGTAATCTAATACTGTTGCTCCTGGGAGTTATAATTACATGCATAATGACACTTACTGATGATCTCTGCGCCAAAAGAAAACAATGGCATACGATTAATAATTAATGAATAACATTGTGACTTGAAGTTCTTTGTCCTTTATAACTTTTAGTAGAATAGGGAAGATAAATGCAGGATATTTGGATGAAGATTTATGAGTTAAAGGGAAGCACAATTAAATGGAAGCGATTAATTATTGAAATTGTTTGAGAAAAAAGAAAGAGAGAAAGAAGAGGAGACAAAGAAAGAAAAGGCCTGGAATGAATGATAATGAAAAAAGTACTAGCGAGAAGAAAGAAAGAAAGAAAGAAAGAAAGAAAGAAAGAAAGCGTTAAAGAAAATGCCTGAAATGTGTGATAATGAAAAGAAAGCACGAATGAGATAGAAAGAAAGAAAGCAAGAAGATACACACTAAAGGAAATAAAGAAAAAGAAAATTGGAAACTAAGGAAAAAAGAAAGGAGAAAAAATATGTGCCAAAAATGGAAAATAATAAGAAAGAAAGAAAGATAGAAAGAAAGAAAGAAAGAAATTTGATTAAAAATAGAACGTCTTTGAAAGAGAGAGAATAAAAGATTTCAGTTTATTAAGAAAGAAAGTACACGCTAAAGGAAAAAATAAAATCAAGTAAAATTAAATATAATAAACAAAAGAGCAAATAATAAGAGAGAAAAAGAAAAAAAATAAGAAATTCTAATAAATCAACTAAGAAAAAATAAGGTGAAACAAAAACAGAAATTGCGATTGAAAACCGAATCGAAACTTTGATGAAAGAAAAAATATTTCAGAAAATAGTTTAGTTTATTCAGTAAAAAAATACAATTTTTATTTAATTTTCCAATTAACTTCATTGAACAAGATATCTACTGATTCGTTTGACTTATCTTCTGTGATCTTTACGTATTCTAATCATTGTCAGAACTTTCATATCTTTCTCAACAAAGAACTGCTGCCGATGCCTATATTCCATAAAAGAGATTTTTTCATCAAGGGACTTATGTGAAAACCTGAATACGCCGTAATCCTTTAGTTCAATATAAGATAAAGGCATAAGATAACATGAAACTCCCGAGTCGACCTGTAATCATTTTATTGACAGCAAATTTGATATTGGCTGACGTTAACCTGATGGAATATTATGTTTTTTTTTTTGTTTTTTTTATTAATAATATCCGAACGTGCTTCGTTCATTGCTACAAACATTTCGTCCAAAAACGACCAGTTCTTTCCGAATTACATGTTATTTATATATCAAAGAGGCTTGTAGGAAAGGAGATTCTGGGAAACGGACTGTGTATATAGTCGGACTGTAATTCCGTTCTAATCCAACCATATTAGCATTATCAATTTCTTGGCCTGCTCCTTGATCTGCTGCTTTTGAATTGTTATAAGGTATTTACCTTTCATCAACTGTCACAATTTTTTTTTATTATGAAACATTTACAGAGGGTCAACCTATTTGAGTAATATCCAGGCTGTGTAAACTTTGTTGGTGATTCGCGTGGCTTTTACCCTGTAAAGTGTCATAAAGTATTCACATTTATAGTATGTGACGTTTTTTTCAATAACGATACATTTAAACAGAATCACTATCTTTGAGTAACATCAAGGTTGTGGGAGAGCTAGTGTTGCGTTCGCGTTCTTAGAAAGTATTCACTTTTCATCGTCTGTCACAATTTTTTCCAATGACGAAGTATTTACACAGGTCATCTCCTTTGGTTAAAACTCAGATTTTTGGAGAGATCCTGGTGGATCGCATTCCTTGCACAGTTATACTTTCGTTCGTGTTGTTATAAAGTATTCATTATTCATTTTCTGTCACAATTTGTTTCAGTAAGGAAACATTCTGTAAAAAGGTAGTGTTTTTTTTTTCCGAAAGCTCTCTTCCAACCTCTTCCTCGTACTTTCTATTTACCTAACTCCCCCCAAATCAAGATGTGGCACAAGGCCATTTTTAACGCTGGACGTTACGAGTCCGTAGTCTCGGGTAAAAATTGCCCATACACGCGGTCGGGTTTGTCTACCTCCCCAAACAAGACTCTGCAATTCGGCATATTCTCGCCTAGGTCCCTCTCTGCCCTTAGGCAGACAGTTCGTCAAGAGAAAAACCCCTCCTCGTCCTTTTCTATTTACCAACCTCCCCACAAGGCAAGATGTGGTACAAGGACAGTTTTTAACATGGGGCGTTCCGAGCCCGTATCCTCCGGTAAAAATTGCCCGTAGACTCCGTACACACGGGGTTCGGTTTGTCTACCTCCCCATACGAGACTCTGCCATTCGACATAGCGTCGCCTGCGTTCCTCTCCGCCAGGTGGCAGAGAGTTCGACAAGAGGAAGTGAAAGTCCCCTACTCTTACTCCAGGGCTCTATCCACGATCTTACGCTGTTTCTGATTTTCATCAATGATCTTCCAGATGTGATCAGTTCCTAATTAGGTATTTATGCAGATGGCACTGTCATTTACTACTGTCTTGGTAACAAGGCCAACAGATCCAACAAATTAAATCTGAGCAACTACTCTTGAAAAAGACCTTGGATCAGTGGTTAACTGGGGCAAGAAATGGCTTGTAGATTTCAACATCTGCAAAACAAAGCTGCTTTCATTTAATTACAACAGAGTACCTTTCTGCCTACCACCAGGATGGCCGATTCTGAATTAAAGGAGAACAACATTCTACACCTTCCTGGCCTCACATTTCTACTAATATGAAGTGGAGTGACTATATCTAATCAATTGCTACGTCTATTGTTAGGAAAGTCGATTCATTGTATTGTGCCCCAATTTTTTTTTTTTTTTTTTTGTCAGAATCCATTTGGCACATTTATAAATCTAACATTCGACTGTGTATTGGATATCTGATCTGGAGCGCGTACTATCCATCTCGAGATTCTTTACCGCATCCATATAAGGATCTGCAATACAATTGATCCTGATCAGGCATCTCATCTTCAGTCACTTACTCGCCGACGTAATATGGCTATCCTCTGTCTCTTCTACAAATATTTTCATGGTAACTGATCGGATGAGATTTTTTTTTCCAGGTGCCCTTACTATATGTACAGGGTGCAATGGGTAAATTGTCACCTTTTTATATTTTTAATTTCGCACATGCGCGTTTTTTGTTTTTGATTTTGTCGAATACACAATATGGTAGTGTCAGTTGAGTGCCGTCTGTAAGAAAGAGAGCAGCATGATGCAATTCACTCCGCCAGAAATTTGGAAACCTCATGATGTACTGCTTGACATTCGCACCAGAAAAGAACTTATGGATTTGTCGTGAGGTCCTCAAACTCAACACATAGGCCTACATCAAGTGACTTGCGCAGGTAGTGCTACCCTGGGTCAAGAGAATGGCTGCTGGAATAACCTATGTCAGGCAACAGAACTCTGCAACATGCCAAACAAGCAGGAGAATGCAGGCATGGCTGTTAGACAATTTCTGTGACACATCATTCTTTAAATCTGGCTACCTAACTCCCCAGGCTGGAACCACCTTGATTCTTATGTGTGGGGCACAGTTTGCGAGAGACCAACAAAAATCTTTCTAACACCAAAGATGAACTGAAGGCAAGGATTATGCAAGCATTCACCAACCTAAACAAGGAAACCACTCGGAAGAGTTGCAAGAGATTCCGAAGTCGTCTGGGGATTTTGATTGACGCTTAATGGTAATTTTATTGAATACATCTATTCTTTAGAATTTGATATGTTCCGGAAAGGGATATATTTGTTCGAAGTAGCAAAGTGGTTTTGAACTACTGTAACAGAGTAGGACAATCTAGCAGGTAACCGTAATGGACTCGTCGTAGTGGCAGGTAATAGACGTAGGCAATATGCGTAGCCAATAGGCGAAGTCAATGGGCGTCCACATCAGTCAGTATTTATTTATTGACACCAGTCAATCATATTACTGTGAGGAGGAACACAGGTGTATGTATATTCATTACATCAGTATTTCAAGATATTATTGTGTAATTTTGGTAAACATACCTGTTAAAATGATATGCTAAATGTATTTTCGTTTTTACGTCATTTAGACGACAATTTATCAATCGCATCCTACATTTACGCGTGCTACTAGATTGACAACGAGGTCTTACCGTTTTACTTTTGGGCTGGCTAGATGCAAATTTCACGTCTACTACTACTCTAACAGTTTTTATTTTATTTTACGCAATTCCAACCCGTGGAACTTAATTTCGATTTCTTGCTTCCATGATATCTACAATTTTTCAAAAATTTAAATGCAACGACAATCGCCATCATTGTTTGTCCTTTCCTCAATGCTCTGCATTTTCGATCTCCTCATTCTCTTTCAGTCCCTATAACCGCTATCGTTCTAGTGGCGTTGTCGCCTTGCCTGGGGGTGAATCTATTAAAAAAACTTACTTTCAACTAGAGAATTGCATAGGGGAATACATTTTTTTTTATCGTTTAGTTTGGGTGAAAACCTCATAAGATAGAAAATAATATGTACAACGAGGTAAAAACTATTTTCAAAATTTTATTATGATATTTTGAATTCAATACTGTTCATTATTATACTGATCGTTATTATACCGATTATTATACTGATCATTATTATACTGATTATTATTATATTGATCATTATTATACTGATCGTTATTATACTGATCATTTTTATACTGATCATTGTTATACTGATTATTATTATTATACTGATCGTTATTATACTGATCATTATTATACTGATCATTGTTATACTGATTATTATTATTATACTGATCATTATTATGCTGATTATTATTATATTGATCATTATTATACTGATCGTTATTATACTGATCATTATTATACTGATCATTGTTATACTGATTATTATTATTATACTGATCATTATTATACTGATTATTATTATACTGATTATTATTATATACAAATATTAATACTGATTATTATTATGTCTCGAGAATCAAACATAGGTCGTCGTGTTCGCATAAAGGCACTTCAAAAATTATAAATCCATGTCATCTACTCCCAGCTAGTATATTAATAGCAGGGTAGACAGCGACTCTAACTGTTAAGAGTACAACGTACTCTTAACACTCACACAGCAATCTCTTTCTGAAATCATCTACCAGGAGTGTTTCTTCGACCTTATATAGGGTGATCATCAGTAAACAAAAATGCGTTCAACCAATTTCTGTTGTTACTAATTATCCATGAATTATTCATGTATTTACACCTTACAACTATATTAAGTTAAATCCTAAGTAATTTCCGTTTTAGCCAACCAATTTAAAGGCTAATTAACCGTTCCTTAAATTTCCACCATATAAATAGCACTATTTACATTATTCGGACTATTGTTCTCATCTTTGTCGCCATATTTATTACAACGTTTCGGACGTTGTACGCTCCGGCCTTCTTCAGGTGTTTGGAATGTCGAACTGAACCCTTTATTTCGCTCACTGGGGTAGACTGTTCTAGTTACACGTGTCATGTCTAATCAGTTATCTCCTGATTAATTCCCCTCTCCAAGTTTTCTACAGCCATAACCAGGTATTGAACTCACACTCTTTGGGTCCTGTCACTGGATCTAACTAACGCATTTATCCATGTGTCCTTGAGGACATCTGTGTATGAATTTCTGGGTATCATAAACCTAATGTCTTCAGCATCATTATTTTACCTGTGCTCATACTGCAAGTTTTGCCGTTAGCAATGCAAGATTTTACCAGATCTTATGTGGCAATTTTTGTAGTTATTATCGCTTTTCTAAGGGACTCCTTATTACTGGTTCCCATATTGTATTCATTTCTATGCTTGGTCGGCTCAGGAGATTTTTGTGGCCTAGCATATGTGCTGATTCCTTAAGTTTACGCATTTTCTAATGAAAGGCGGAGAGAACTTGGAGAGGGGAATTAATCAGGAGAAAACTGATAACTGACATCCATTAGACATGGCACGTCGAGCTAGAACAGTCTACCCCAGTTCTGGTGAAGGATTGTAAATTCAAAATTATTACCGACAAGTTTACAAACAGGAAGTTATTAGAGATGCCTTTATTTCGGTGTTATCTGCAGCTACTATTCGGCAGAGATATTAAGAAAAAAAGAAGAAAAAAAAAAAGGAAAAACGCTCACTCTCACAGAAGGTGGAAATCAAGGGCAAAGTGTGGAAAGGCCTATTTTAAATTTTGAAGCTTATTCTGTTTATACCCAAACAAGTTCGGAACCCAGAGATTTCATGCAGCGATTGCCGACTGTTCTGAATACAGTAAGAGTCAAATTACCCGGCTCCTTGTGATAGATATTCATATAGTGGTTATGGCGAGCTATAGCTACAACATATTCAAGAGTGAACCAGTGCTCGCTGTTTGATTTTCGCTGGGACGTTTAGGGGTTATAAAACTCTCCATCCCAGTAAGGATCCATTAGATACGTGGGCAGCAATTATGCGGGTAGCATGCTTGAAGAATGTTGAGAGAGGAACTTCCGACATATAAGATCTAAAGCTGTCCCAGTTTACCTTCGTATAGCGGAAACTCATTTTATGAAATGGCTAATCAGGGAATACATTTGGTTTTCATCAATTTGAACACTGACTAGGGAATGATCTGATGTGCCGAGATAGGGTAAAAATATTTTCTAAGCATTTTGCAGGGCAGGATGTAATGAAGAGGATGTTTCCCTGATGTCCCGTCGAGACAGGGACACGGGTGGAATCTTCGATGATCTGAGCATGTTCATAGGAGATCAAGTGTCTGCCTTTATCTGCCTCCTTCACCGGGTTTTGTTCGAATGAACTAACCACTTTTTGTGGTGAACGTTGAAATCCCCACATATATGAAAGCTAGCTGACAGAAAATTGATAAAAAAATATTATCAACCAGGTATTCGGCTAAAGATTCGTGTCCCATCGTCCTGAGGACGGTAGGAACCGAAAATAAATGTGGTACTATGGAAAAATGACACGTAAATCCACATATATGGTAGCTCAGGGTACTCTTTTTAGGCGTCTTTACTACAGAGACACCCGCCCTTAAGTTTGGTACCCTGTTTGTGGCCGTCGCGATTATGTTTGTTTATTCGGGATCTATATTATTTTTATATTATTTTATATTATTATTATTATTATTTTATATTATTATTATTAGTATTATTATTATTATTATTATTTTTATATTATTTTATATTATTATTATTATTATTATTTTTTTATATTATTTTTATATTATTTTATATTATTATTATTATTATTTTTATATTATTTTATATTATTATTATTATTTTATATTATTATTATTTTTATATTATTTTATATTATTTTATATTATTATTATTATTTTTTATATTATTTCTATATTATTATTATTTTTTATATTATTTTTATATCATTTTATATTATTATTATTATTTTATATTATTTTATATTATTATTATTTTTATATTATTTTATATTATTATTATTTTTATATTATTTTTATATTATTATTATTATTTTTATATTATTTTATATTATTATTATTATTTATATATTATTCTATATTATTATTTTTATATTATTATTATTATTTTTATATTATTTTATATTATTATTATTTTATATTATCTTTATATTATTTTTATATTATTTTTATATTATTATTATTATTATTATTATATTATTTTATATTATTACTATTATTTTATATAATTTTTATATTATTATTATTATTTTTATATTATTTTATATTATTATTATTATTTTTTTATATTATTATTATTATTATATTATTTTATATTATTATTTCATTTTTATTTATTTTATTGGCAGGAATGATTTACCCTGATTTTGCCCATTTTTAAATTTTATATACAATTAAAATCCAGTTAATTTTTTTTTTCAAATATATATCTAATAATTTCTATAAATAAGAAATAACTTGGTTCCGAACCTAAGAACCGCTTTCAGCAGCTTTTAGGCAAGTAAGGATAATGAATTCTGGTTCGACTTTTTAAAATTCGTCAAAATGGCTATATCAAAAGGAAAATAATTTCAATAATCTTTCATCTTTTCTCTAGCCTTTGATTTTCGTGCCGATAATTTTTCAACAACTGCTAGCATTATTGGTTAGGAAAGTTAAAATGCAAAATCAGCCTCTTCTGGTCCCTATCAACGCAATATAAATGCCCTTTTTTATGCGGTGAGCAATCAACTTTACTGTTCGTTTGATTTCAATCTGTGATAAAGCAAATGAAAGAGAAAGGAGGGAATAGAAGGAAAAATAAAGTTAGAAAGACAAAAAAGAAGAAACTGAAACAGAAACGGAAGAGAAAGAAAGAAAAAGGATATATAGTTTGATAAAAATTGACCACAAACTTAGGTGGAAAAAGAAAGAAAGGTCGGGAAAATAATGAAGGAATAAATAAATGACAATTCTATCGAAAAAGAATAAAAACTACGGTAAAAGAAGGAATAAATCAAGTGAGAAAATCACAATTAGAGAAGCAACACAAACTAAGTTAAAAGAAAAGAAAAACACAAAGAAAGAAAGGATGAAAGATAGTAACTCACATAGAGAAAAAATTAAAAAAAAAACTTAAGTAAATAAAGAAAAAGAAAGAAATAAACAAAGAAAATGTGACAGAAAAAGAAAAAAAAAGAAAATGGGGTGAAAGAACGAAAAAAGAAAGAAAGAAAAAAGAAAAGAAGAAAGAAAGCAAATCACATAGAAAAAAGAATTAAAAACTGAAGTAAAAAAAGAAAGAAAGAAAGAAAGAAAGAAAGAAAGAAAGAAAGAAAGAATGCGACTGAAAAAGAAGTAACAGGAACTGTGGTGAACGAAATAAAGAAATTGAGAGAAAAAAAAGAAAGAAAGAAAGAAAGAAAGAAAGAAAGAAAGAAAGAATAAGAAAAAATGCTACTGAAAAAGAAGTAACAGGAACTGTGGTGAACGAAATAAAGAAAGAAAGAAAGAAAGAATGCGACTACAAAGAAGTAACGGGAACTGTAGTGAACGAAATAAAGAAAGAAAGAAAGAAAGAAAGAAAGAAAGAAAGAAAGAAAGAAAGAAAGAAAGAATAAGAAAAAATGCGACTGAAAAAGAAGTAACAGGAACTGTGGTGAAAGAAAGAAAGAAAGAAAGAAAGAAAGAAAGAAAGAAAGAAAGAAAGAAAGAAAAAAAAAGAAAGAATGCGACTAAAAAAGAAGTAACAGGAACTGTGGTAAACGAAATAAAGAAATTTAGAAAGAAAGAAAGAAAGAAAGAAAGAAAGAAAGAAAGAAAGAAAGAAAGAAAGAAAGAATGAGAAAAAATGCGACTGAAAAAGAAGTAACAGGAACTGTGGTGAACGAAATAAAGAAATTGAAAGAAATGAAAGAAAGAAAGAAAGAAAGAAAGAAAGAAAGAAAGAAAGAAAATACGACTGAAAAAGATTAAAAATCTCAACTGAAAGAAAGAAATAATGAAAGTAAAACACATTTAAAAAAAGAATTGATAAAAACTAAGGTTAAAGAGAAGTGGTAAAGAAGTGAAAGCTTGAATCTCTTGATATTTATTAAGGTAAAAGAAAGAAAGAAAGAAAGAAAGAAAGAAAGAAAGATTGGTTACGTTTACAGTTCATTAAACCATATCGATGTCAGGATTATATTTAAAAATAAAAAAGGGAAAGAGAAAAAGAGGTTGAAATAGAAAGATCACCAAGTGGACACTTATTACATCCTTCGTTCTATTCTATTAATTCCGATATTATTATATTTTCAATTATAATGGAATGACTTCATCGCAACTTCGGTTATGAGAATTTCATCAAATCATTTCTGAAAAATTTTCTAAAATCCATATAATAAAATCATTTATCAGTCTTTGAATTTTAAAATGGTTTTCCAGTTCCCAATCGAAACGTGGTCATTAAACGTATGGCAACCACAGCCTTTCATCGCCCAAAATAATTGCCTTTATATAGATTTTTTCGTAAATTTTGAAACCTGTCATTTTTTATGTAATCTAATTAAGTCCGCAGTGCCAGTCGACCGTTTCCTCTTTTTTGTTAATGTTAATAGTTACTTAAAACGGAAGATTGGGCTTAAAATGGATAACTGGCAACTAGTCTTTGATAAACCTAAGTCTTTTGATATTTATTGAGATTAGGGAAATCGAGGTAGGAATATTTTTAAGGCACTTATGGAATCCTACCTACCCACAGAACAAAAAAAATCAATATTCGAAATACGAACTTTTACCTGAGCTCGAAATACTTCTTTATAGTCCCAGCTGGAAAAATGTAATCCTTTCAACTACCCAACTAGCACAAAATCCCCTGACATTTAAATTCGTTTACATAAGAATCTTATCTTCTGTTGGCGCGAAGTTTAGCTCCGTTGTTGAATACGATTCATAAAACTCGCAAGTGAAACAACTATTGTCGGAAAGGGGTCGAATTTTCGTCTGTTATATCTGATCAGAAATTACATTCGTTAGATATGCGTTTATACATAGATTAAAAGCGACATTCTACAATGATGGTAGATCCGTTGGAAAGGAGAGAAAAAGCAATTCAAATTTCAAATTAACTATCAAAAATATCATGCAGCTTGCAGTAACGACTGGCAAATTTTCGCTCCAATAATAACCTCACACCTCTTGCTAATCTCTACCTTTACAAGAGCCAAACCAGGCCTAAAATGGAGTACGGCCGTCATATATAGGCAGGAGCTACCCAGTCCTCACTTACCTGTCTGCTATAGTCGAAATTTACAAGCGGCAGGTGTTATAGAGTAGTTTCACAGTGGAGGCTTGTATTTCACTAAGTCGGTCCTAAAATAGGTTCGACGTACAAAACGTTAGGAACTTGATATAATAGTTAATGACGCAGCAATCTAGTTGTGGTGGTTGATACTTTAATCTCCGACTAACGGTTGTCCGACATCGACTGACTAACCAACTCACCCAGCCGACTTAGCGACTGCTACTACTCCTACTTATTATAGGTGGGAGAGTCTATTAACAATATAATAAGTGTGTTCCAGTATAACAGCAGGTCAGACTGGAAATGGTGTACTGTTGGTGGACTGTAACTGTCCAATCTTCGCGGCCTTGTGGTTGATGAATTATTCTCCATTTTGTACCCACATTCCCCTACTTGCAATAACCGGTGAAAGTCTCTCGCTATTCTATAGCTATTTGCATGGAAAATATTCAGACGAAATACATCTTTGTTCCACCAAATGTAACCCTCACAGCTATAACCAGCCTAGTCGCGAAGAAGTGTCTCCCGAGATGATGCTATCCTGACCACTACAATCTTATGCTGGCCATGTCTGGGTTTAACCATTACTTTTTACACATATCCTCGTATACTTCGTCTTGTACATATTACCACTCACACAATTTCAGTAAACCTCTATCTTGTGTGGCTCGTGTGCCTTGTATAAGGTGAACATCATTAAAAAGCACATAAGACGAAGTACCTACTCAATGGAAAAGGGTTACTAAATGAAGTTATTATTTGGAGACACGAGGAGGAAGTAATTGTAGATTATGAAGATATGTAGGATAGAAACTGTTGCGTCTAGACTTGAAAACGTTATTACACTTTCGCACCCTCCTCCCCGTTGCTTCCTGTCATTCAGCAATGGACTGTTCCAGGTACGATGGTCTGGAAACAGTTCTGTGTGTTATTGTTAATTATAATATTTAAATAAAAATTAAAATATAAATCTCGAGAAACAAATTCAATATTTGTAAAACCCTAACCCTAAGCAACGGGGTGTGCGAAGTGTAATATCGCCGAATTGAAGAGGTTAATATTGTAGTGATCAAGGAAGCATCCTCTTAGGAATAGCGGTTCTTGAAAAGAAGCTATCACAGTGGAACTTCCTTCTTACCAATAGACTACGAAGAGAATGGGGAGGATTCGACCCTGTGTACGTGGAATAGAGGTGGCTAGACGTAAAGGTCTGAACTTGTGTACCAAAGGGATGTAGTTCGTTTGATCAAAGATATGGAAGAACAACACTATCAGGAAACATCATAGATTTCTTGGTTCCACCAGAACTTAACGTTTGCAACTGATATCCCCTAAGATCACGTACTGTGGATGAATCATATCTATCCAGCCTTTGGGGGCATTTCGACGTGGTATAATGGTTAGCAATCATGTCTCGCTAGATCAATTACGCCTGAACAGTAAATTCGATCCTTACTGAGTGCTGCACATTTGCGACTTTGTGCCAACTCTAAGCTACGCTTAGAAAATGGTCACATCTATTCTCTTCGTATTCATTAAAAATAATTGAGTTCCGCCCGGAAAGCTTCTTTCAAGAGACCGCGGTTTTTTTAAACATACTGCCACTAGAATGAGCTCACGATCAGTACAATCTCGACCTCTCTAAGCATTAACAGTTATCTTTCCTACATAAACTGACTGACTGCACGTCATGCCTTTTCTTTTATTTTTACCTTTTTATACTAATGTTCACAAAATACAAGGCCCAAGAGCCACACAAAGTAGAAGCTTACTGCATGAGCGTAAGAAAGTGCAAAAATGAACTTCTTTGGGCTACGAAGGAAAGATAACGGCTAAGCCTAGTCTTGAAGAGGTCAAGATTTAATTAGTGAATAACAGTTCAGTCGTACTTCTTTAGAAGTCTAGTGTGGTATAGTATAGTATAGTATATATATATATATATATATATATATATATATATATAATATAATGAGAAGCCACGTATACTTTCTTAATATGTATATATAGAAAAAGTTGCAAATTAAAAAAATAATAATATACTTTTATGAAGGTATTTATTTATTAGTATATATATTTGATATTTCAGATTGGCCTCAATCTTTCTTCAGAAATAACTGTTTCTGTACAAGTAGCGTCCGTCGCGAGATGCGGACGTCACGTGATATGGAACGAATATTCCTAACGTAAATCTAACTGTAATAATATCTTAGATGTTGTTTAAAAAAATTTTAAAAAATAAAATAAGAAATAAAAATTTTTTTTAACTATATCTAAAAAAGGTTTAACTATTGAAATATTTATAAAGATTTAAAATACCCAAGTCTTTATTTAACCCTAGTTTATATGTATTTAATTTTAAAATCGAGTATTTTTCATTTTTTCTGCGTGTGTATGTGGAACTGAAATCAGAATCTATCAATAAACATTTACAGTTTTCTAATGAGTGTCCTGATTAATTAAAGTGTTCAGCTATGGGGGAGTAAGGATTGTTTTGACGTATGGTTTGTTTATGATTGTTGAAGCGAAATCTAAAATTATTTCCAGATTCACCAATATATCAAGACATAAGGTGCAGAATAAATAGTAGATTATGTTATGGCTATTACAGGTGAGGTGGGTGTATCTTGATATTGGTGCTGAGTACAGAAAATGCATTACCTATTATTAAGTGTTTGCAAACTAAACAACGAAGTTTGTTACATTTGTAATTTCCTGATTGGTTTGTATTGTTTAGATATTTGGTAGAGGTGAGGATTGCTGATAGGTTAGGTGATTGTTTCTTTGCATTTCTGGGTGGTTTATCGAAAATGTCTTTGATCTTTTTGTCTAACTGGAGGTTCTTGCAATCCTTTTTTAAATTGTGAATAAGTGTGTGGGAATAGTGATTATGATTAAAAACCATAGTAATCCGATTGTTGTTTTTACTTTTCTTGTATGTGAGAAGTGTGTTACGATTTATGTGGATAGTTTTATTTAGTGCTTCTTTTATTATTTTTATTGGGTATTTACATTTTAGGAATTGTTTTGTTAAGTTATTAATGTTGTATAGAAAATCTAAATGGTCTGAACATATGCGTTTGATTCTTAGAAATGAGCTGTACACAGTAGATTTTCTTTTAATTTAAGGGGATGACAGCTGTTAAAGTGTAGAAATTTATGTTGGTTTGTGGGTTTGTTGTATAGACTGGTAGAAAGTGTATGTTTGTTTAATTTTATCATAACGTCTAAGAAAGGGATAGGTGTGTATGAGTGCTCCATGGTAAATTTAATTGTATCGTGGAAGTTGTTCCAGAAAGTGAAAAAGTGTTTTAATTTTTCTGATCCATGAGTCCATAGTAAGAAAATGTCATCGATATATCTGAAATAATGTGATGGTTTAAATTCTGATTTGTCTAGTATCTTCCTTTCTAGAATGTGCATAAAGATATTTGCATTGCTGTGCCACTAATCTGTAAATAGTGTTTGTTGTTGAATTTAAAATTATTATGTGTTAAAATGAAATTTATTAATTGGCATATATCTGTAATTTGGTAGTTAGGTAATTTTTTGTTACTAAGGAACTCATAGCAAGCTGATACTCCTTCAACATGTGGAATGTTCGTGTAAAGGGACGAAATATCCATCGTTACTAGGATTGTATCATGGTGGACTAAGTTAATGTTTTGTAATTTGTTGAGAAAGTCAGTAGTGTCTCTAATATAACTATGTATGTCAGGCAATAAAGTTTTTAGGA